GAGTGAGCGTGTGTGTGCGTGTGTGTGAGTGAGCGTGTGTGAGAGTGAGCGTGTGTGAGAGTGAGCGTGTGAGAGTGAGCGTGTGTGTGAGAGTGAGCGCGTGCGTGTGTGTGTGCGCGTGTGTGAGTGAGCATGTGTGTGTGCGCGTGTGAGTGTGTGTGAGAGTGAGCGTGTGTGTGTGTGTGCGCGTGTGAGTGAGCGTGTGTGTGTGTGTGTGCGAGTGTTTGTGTGTGAGTGTGTGTGCGAGTGTTTGTGTGTGAGTGTGTGTGCGAGTGAGCGTGTGCGAGTGAGCGTGTGAGAGTGAGCGTGTGTGAGTGAGCGTGTGTGTTTGTGTGTGAGTGAGCGTGTGTGAGTGTGGATCATTAACTCACAGCGCTCATTACTCAAACATTATCTGCATGAGCAGCTTTATTACCGTGGTGTGATTGATCTCCGATTCTTGATCATCATGCAGAATATCAGATAACAGATATACAGAACCAATATTTATTTGTTTTACTTGTTTTTGTTAAATTGATTTCATATCACAATAATTAAAACAGCAGCAGCAACAACAAAAATACTAACTATAGGCAAAATAAATGAACAAAGTCTAATGTTGCACTGGGCAACTTAACGAGAATGAGCATTGCATATATTTTAAACTACGGTAAAATGATGGTTTCCGTGTTCACTGGAATAATTATACACTCCGAGAATAAACACACGAAACACACGGGCTGATTAAACTGTTAATCATGATTATTTTGCTCAAATATAATCATAATGATAAATCACATTGTTGTCCTTTTAGTTTTACATTTCATCAGAATTATTGGACGTTCACATAAGCACAAATCAACAGAACATCAGCTCGCATGGTTTGTCTGCCAGTGTCTGCGTGAAAGAAAACAGACAGCAGAATATATCACTAAACTCAAATGTGCATGTGTTTTCAGCTCATCAGTGCTTTTTCTGTAATGTAGAGACAGCGTGTGCAAATGGTTGCCAGGTTGGGAAGATTAAGTAAACCACTAGGCAGGAAATATATGTAATATATAAAAGAAAAGCTCTGATTGGGGATTTAAACTCGAGAGATCTGGCAACCGAGAAAATGAAAGCTTGTGGAGGCTCTTTACCAATGCAACATAACACAAATGCCAGATTAAAAAGTTTTCAGATAAATAACCAGTGGGAAAATATCGCAGATATTATAATAATAATGCATAATAAATCGAGAGAACCTGAAATCATGGTCACAATCAAAATATGCTTTATTGTGCATTTGTGGAGTCCATCTCGAATGGCATGTTATCAGAATTATTCATGTTTTTATCAGATTATGAAACACCTGCTGATGCACTATTTTTAGTGTTTTACAGTTATTGACAAATGACGGACGTCTCATCCTCGCTCTCATCGTCATCGGACACATTTTTGAATGTGTTTGTTGTTTACCGTTTATCAGTGGAGTGGATATTACAAAACCAATATCTGATGAAGGAAAATGCTTAAATATCTTTAGAGTGATCAGTGTCTATCTGTAGTGTAATGATGGTACTGAAGGACATCAGCGGAGTCACGAGCTGAATTCAGAGATAATTACAGCACATGAAAGCGCTGCTTTAGCTAACGGCTGTTTTTAATGAGTTCAGCTCAGATAACGAGGCGCTTCATGAGCTGAATAATGTGCTTTGTTCTGCTGCGTCCAGCTCTCTTTCTCCTCAGAGTTAGCAGGACAGTAGAGGCTCATGGGACAGATGATGTTCCTCGTGTTTCTAATGGTGATGAACGCTTTGTTCTCTCAGTCGCCGTTGAGTTCCGCGCGGCTCTGGACGGAGGAGTATGTGCTCAGGACAACATGATCAAGTCGCTCACGCTTCCTCCCAAGAAAACCGTCACCTTCCCCAGTGACCTTCAGGAAACACCGGCCAAACCTCAGCTCATCCACAAACAGCCTCCCGCCCTGCCGCCCAAACCCTTCTCCAGACTGACCAATCACAGCACAGGTGAGAAACAAACACCTCCAGACTGACCAATCACAGCACAGGTGAGAAACAGACACCTCCAGACTGACCAATCACAGCACAGGTGAGAAACAAACACCTCCAGACTGACCAATCACAGCACAGGTGAGAAACAGACACCTCCAGACACTCAGATGTCATGATGAAGTTTTTGAAAATTCGGGCATGAATCCGCTCGACAGCTCTGATTGTTTACAACATCAAACACTTTGATTTGAAGCAAAAATAGTCTTTGCAACCATGTTGTTTCAAACCAATAAGACTGAAAGTGAACAAAATTAAGTAAGGTTCTGCTTAAAACAAGAATAATAAACTGTCAATGTGGAATGAAAGCTTGTTTTCCCTTTGATTTAAAGGTGACATATCATGAAAATGTGACTTTTCCAGGTGTTAAGTGCTATAATCAGGTCTCCGGTGCATCTACTAACCAAGGAAACGTGAAAAAGATGAACCCAGTAACTTTGTTTTAGTAAACCTTTTTCTGCAAGCGTCTGAGAAAACCAGCGCGTCTGATTTCGCTCACTTGGTGACGTGGCAAAGGGATCTCATTAATATCACCGCCCCTTAATCTGTAAGTTTACACACACGGCGCCGTTATTGTGTTTTCGCAAACGACAGCGGTGTAGCAGCTCTAATGTCATGGAGAAAGTTTGAGCAAAACACGCTAACTGTTCTGTGTTTGGCTGCACAGATGAGCACTGAACACTGTTTAGAGTCCCAGCCTCAGACGAGACAAGACAGCAGTGAATTTATTGATGTATTTACTGTATATTGCTGCTGCCACACAGATCTAAAATAAACAAGCGATTTATTTCCCAGCTGTTTACCTTCACAGACATAACCCACTGTTTTTGTAACTCGTGTGTTTTTAACGTAAGCTTGTGTGTGAATGAGAGCTTAGTTTAGTACTCACATGCTGTGACAGCCGCTTTCTGTGCGTGTGCTTCAGATGTGTGCGCTCAGAAAACCCTATATCAGAAGTTTAAACTCAGAAGGTTCAAAACGCATGATTTCAGCACGATACACATGATAATCAGAACCAAAACAGATGTTTTTAGCAGGTCCGAGCTGCAGCTCTATTCTGGAAAAGGGGGCGGGGAGCAGCAGCTCATTTGCATTTAAAGAGACAGGCACGAAAAACAGCGTGTTTCTAATTCCACTCAAAATAGGCATTTTCAAGCTGATATAATAAATGATCTGTGGAGTATTTTGAGCTGAAACTTCACAGACACATTCTGGGGACACCAGATACTTATATTATATATTGTAAAAAGGGACATAATATGTCTCCTTTAAGTAGTTTTTTCTGTGATCATTGGGAGATATACGTTGTTCTTGTTTAAATCATAAACTCACTTCATTTTGATCCATTTCTCAGAAATCAAGACTTCTTCTCTTCTGTCCTTCTGCTTCTCCAGTAAATGTGTCTTGATTTAAGAATCGTTTGAACTGGAAAACAAGACAGAGAGACTGAGGAAGAGCTGCACTTTATTACAGTGTGATCAGAAGCTACAGTAAAATATATTTTTATATTCTAGTGTTTGTGAGCAGAGCGGTTCAAGCCTTAAGGGGTTTTTTTTAATAAGATTAATTAAAGTAGTGAAGATCTGTTTGAAGCTGTATTTTCAAACTGTGCTTCCTAGACATTTAAATGTAGAGAACTTTATTCTGTATTTTTTATTCCTTCAGTTTTCTTTATTTGGTCTTAAATATCCTGTCAAACAACCTGCAGAATCCCTGCAAAGATACTGTAATGAAAGCTGAGAGATTTCTGTCCCTCAATTAAAATATAGTATAATATAACTATGAAGTTAGTAATTGTGTTGTGTGGCTTTGTCCTTTCTATTAGTTTTTTTAAAATATGTCTATTTGGTTTTTAACAGCTAAAATAAAATAAGTTTTTTATATATGTGTCCCTGCAGCACAAAAGCAGTGTTAAGTCGCTGGGGGATATTTGTAGCAATAGCCAACAATACATTGTATGGGTCACAATTATACATTTCTCTTTTATGCCAAAAATCATTAGGATATTAAGTAAAGATCATGTTCCATGAAGATATTTAGTAAATCTCCTACCGTAAATATATCAAAACTTAATGTTTGATTAGTAATATGCATTGCTAAGAACTTCATTTGAACAACTTTAAAGATGATTTTCTCAATATTTAGATTTTTTTGCACCCTCAGATTCCAGATTTTCAAATATTGTCCGATCCTAACAAACCATACATCAATGGAAATATTATTTATTCAGCTTTCAGATCATGTATACATCTCAATTTCGAAAAATTGACCCTTATGACTGGTTTTGCGCTCCAGGGTCACATATATTGTATCTTTCAGTTCATGTTTATTATATTTCAGCTGATGAGAATGTTATTTTACGGTTGTGTGTGTGTGTGTTGTGTCCAGACTCGTGTCAGCCGCTGAAGGTGTCGTGTCTGCAGGGAAAGCCGTCTCCTCCTCTGCCTCCTAAGAAGCTGATGCTGTACTCGTCCTCGGCCACGCCGCTCTCGTTCTCTCAGTACAGTCACCCGTCGAACCGTATCATCGACGAGCTGCAGAAGGCGCTAGCGCTCGCCATGCAGAGACTCGACAGGTGCGTCTCATCTAATAATCTATTAGAATGCATCATGCAAAGAATCAACACTGTATTTGATTATCACAGCGTCTGCATGCTGTGCACGGAAAGCTCCTGCTGCTCTCATCACTGTACAGCAGTATATCATGAGTTTCTATGAACAAAACACGTATGATATGTGTCCCTGCAGCACAGAAGCAGTGTTAAGTCGCTGGGGGATATTTGTAGCAATAGCCAACAATACATTGTATGGGTCACAATTATACATTTCTCTTTTATGCCAAAAATCATTAGGATATTAAGTAAAGATCATGTTCCATGAAGATATTTTGTAAATCTCCTACCGTAAATATATCAAAACTTAATGTTTGATTAGTAATATGCATTGCTAAGAACTTCATTTGGACAACTTTAAAGATGATTTTCTCAATATTTAGATTTTTTTGCACCCTCAGATTCCAGATTTTCAAATATTGTTCTATCCTAACAAACCACACATCAATGGAAAGCTATTTATTCAGCGTTCAGATGATGCATACATCTCAATTTCGAAAAATTGACACTTATGACTGGTTTTGTGCTCCAGGGTCACGTATAGCAGAGGACACAGAGTAGCTGCTGCGGGAAAAGGCTTCAAACTAACTGATAAGCATAGTTCAGTGCAGCTTGTCCTGTCAGATACATGTGCTGTTTAAAGCACACAGGCGAGTCCTGATATCTTCACAGACTTCACTGAATGACTGCGTGCGCATCAAACACAGACAACTGTAGAAGAAAGTGCAATAGTTCACATTTTTTAAATGCAATAATTCAAATTTTGAATGTAGGTTTAAAATTCTACATATAACGCAAGTAATTGTATTTTAAAGGGAGCGGTAAGAGTAAAGGGAGTTAATGGATAAATATAAATGTAATATTCAGATGAGTGCGTGTTTTATTCTCATTTATAATTTAGTGATTTTAATTTTTGGTGTAAAATGGTAAGCAAGCAGCTGTTTTAGTTTTAAAATGTAATGTTTATATTGAACCTTTTTTTTTATATTGTATAGCATAGCCTCTAGATTTGTTTTCATAGCCTTCAAATTGCACATTGTTTGGAGAAAACATTAAGGCAGGATGAGGAATAACATTTTTAATAATGGATTGAATTAATTGTTTTTATTTAAATTACATTTGAACTCTTTCCTCATCAGTGTTTTTTTTTTATAGCCAAAAAGCATCAGCATTTTTGATCATATTCGCAGAATGAACTTTCACAGTGTTGCCAACTTAGTGACTTTGTTGCTAGATTTAGTGGCTTTTCAGACCCCTTTAGTGACTTTTTTTTTAACAAATGCTCTTTTTGCAGTGAGGAGTTTTTTCTGAGGTCTATATTTGTATAGTACAACAAGCTCTTATATGTCAAAAGTTAGTGACTTTTTTTTTAACAAATGCTCTTTTTGCATTGAGGAGTTTTTTCTGAGGTCTATATTTGTATAGTACAACAAGCTCTTATATGTCAAAATATCATTATCGTTTCTCAGCATACAGCACTGAATCCAGTGTCAGAATATTCCTGATTTTTGGAGTGTGTTTTGATGTATCTTGGCTTTCCAGGCCTGTCGTGGACAGCTGACTCATGTTCTTTGTATTCATTACAGCAATGACATTACAGACTCTTTCTGCAGTTACACAGATACACCAGTAGGTGACTGTATGAGTGAGTCATTGAAGTATTCACTCAACCGATTCGTTTAAAACACTGATTAATTGACAGCTCTTCATCAGGTTTGAAGTCTCCGTGTTTAGTGGATGTATGAAGTGTGTGTGGCAGAGGTTTTGTGAGTATTTGACCCAGACGTCTCCGCTGTCACATGACCGCTTGTGTGTTGTGTTCCTGCAGCTCTGCGGTTCACGCGGGTCAGTACAGCGCTCCACTCCGGGCCGTGGTGATCGACTGTGACGATGATAAAGAGAACATCCCCAACGAGTCTGACTATGAGGACCTGCCCAGCATGTATAAAGATGAAGAGGAGGATGACGACGATTCACTCTTTACAAGTTAGTCTTGAAACCGTTTGCTGGGATACGGCAGACTCATTGATTTGTTCTAGTTCTCGTTTTGTAATGAGGCAGTCAGAGCTCATTGTGTGTGTGTGTGTGTGTGTGTTTGTGTGTGTGTGTGTTCAGGCACTCTGGCGCTGAAGATCCTGAGGAAGGATTCTCTGGCGGTGAAGCT